AAAAACTTTTAAAAAATGTAAACATTTTTTTGTTTAAAGATCAGGCCACAAAATAACGATTGTTTGTTTCAGGTAAAGCTACAAGAAGGCTATTGGCACTAATTCTTGAAGTACTCAAATCAAACACTGGGATTTGACCTTAACTTTTACAATGGTCTTAAAGTGTAAGGATCAATTTTGTAGCAATGGGGCGTGAACCATGGACCCCCAAAGTCCAGCATAATGTCCACCAGGTTATTTCCAATCCCACAAGAAAAGCAATGTGGAAATAAGCGCTGGAATGACTATTTAGTTTTACCACATAATAATATAGACTTAGGTAGTATTACGTTAGATTTCTTTCTTGCCCTGGTGAAAGAAATATCAGTCAGGATTAAGTCTTACATACATTTAGTCTAAAAATGAGTTAAATTGCACTGATCTGTTGAACAGAAACTAATATTATTTTTATTGCTTATGTTATTTTACTGGACAAACAACAGGCCCCAACATAATAAAATCAATGATCTTTCAACTGAATAGTTCGTAACTTGCGAGTACAACAACAACAGGATGCATCTATTTGGAAACATTTCCAGTTCTTAATATGTTAAAATATAATTCCTACTACAAGTCTTTTATCACTTCATATGAAAAACAAATTATATAAAAATCAAGCCTCATGTTACCCTTCCTGCCTCTGTGATTTAGTGTTGGGTTGGCCTCGTTGATTACCTCGTCGGCCTCTTCTATTTTGTGTATGGAAGTCCTCGTAGTCAGCTGCACTAATAATTCCTGCAAATAAGATCCACATCTGTCACTCACAGTAGAACAGGAGACTATTCATTGAAGAAACACAAATCTATCTACCATGCTGGTTTATTTTATGGCAAATTTTATAATATCAACAGCAAATCAGTAAAAATTTTAAAAAAATTAACCACGGGCCAATTATAAAAGAAAGAGAAGAAATTATGGTATTAAAAACATTGAATAATCTGGTATGATGATAATATAAGTAAAAGTGAGTCTGTTGGTTGGTTTTTGTGCATTATACGCAAGGAAAGTCTTCATAAACATCAATACAATTTTCATACCATCATAATATTCTCCAAGCATGATTATATTAATTTATTTTAAAATTGCAGTTTCAATTTTTTCCCATAATTCATTAGAACATGCTAAATAATTAGAAAGGAACGAGCTGAAGCATTAATAATAATATTACAATGGTAGCCCAAAACTACTAAACTAATCCTAACTCAAGCATCAAATCTCTAAATTAGGCTCTAAAAAAAAACAAGAAGAAACAAAAAATACCGTTATCTATAAAATTCTGCTAGTAAAAACAAAAATGACGGCATATAATTGTACAAATTGCATTCATTGTATTGTTAGAGACCCGAGTAAAAATATAAGATCAAACGATGTTAAAATTTGAAACAAACATGGAAACAGTATTATTAGACAGTCTCTTTGACAGAGAATTTTAAAGAAATATTACATTACAAAAACAGTTTAGAAACAGTTATTTTCTTTTTTACTCAGAACTTTAATATAACAGGGAAAATGTAACGTCCACCGTCAATTGGTTCACGTACACAGCGTGACGGGAAATACGAATGAAAGGACGATCCAACAGGCCTGAATATTTACTCTTTTATAATAGTTGGACGGAAAGCGATGTGTAAACAAGTTATACCAAAGTAGTTTTAAGTATGGGATTTAAATATTCACCATTTATCTTAGGTTTAGAATAATAGCCTAGTGGGCAACATTTGGTTCTGAAGTATTTGAGTAGCATTATTAAATTATTGGTAAATGCTAATTAATAAAACATTGATTTTATTTCTGACTAAGTTTTTTTTTGTACATATAGAAAATATGAGCAAAGCATCAGGTTTAAAACAAACGTAACTGGTATATCTTGACACGAATCTAACGTCAAACGCTCTCATCTCACAAGCTGCGACATCATTCCATAATAAGAAAACTTCATTTCTATTTGAAGCTTTGAAATATTGAATGTAACAGCAATTATTGTTGATACTGTTGCTTAAACTACATATAAAACTGTTCATTTTTACAGTAGCTAATGATTGCTGAAATTCACATGCCTAAAAAAATAGTATGATGGAGTCAAAATTACAATAACGCATGAATATCAGGTTCTCAATCTCATCAAATATGGTAAGTTTGCAATTAAACAGTCACACTCTATATCAGCAATCAATACAAACCTATCAACCATAGGATACAGTCAGTTCATACTTGGACAGCCACACTATACATCAACAGTCAATACAAACCTATCAACCATAGGATACAGTCAGATCATACTTGAACAGTCACACTACATCAACAATCAATACAAACCTATCAACCATAGCATACAGTCAGTTCACACTTGAACAGTCACACTACATCAACAATCAATACAAACCTATCAACCATAGCATACAGTCAGTTCACACTTGAACAGCCACACTACATCAACAATCAGTACAAACCTATCAACCATAGCATACAGTCAGTTCACACTTGAACAGCCACACTATACATCAACAGTAAATACAAACCTAACAACCATAGGATACAGTCAGTTCACACTTGGACAGCCACACTATACATCAACAGTCAACACAAGCTGATAAACCATGAGATACAGTCAGTTCACACTTGGACAGCCACACTATACATCAACAATCAATACAAACCTATCAATCATAGCATACAGTCAGTTCACACTTGGACAGCCACACTATACATCAACAATCAATACAAACCTATCAATCATAGCATACAGTCAGTTCACACTTGGACAGCCACACTATACATCAACAATCAATACAAACCTATCAACCATAGCATACAGTC